AGGATGGATCAGTTCTGACCTGAAAATAACACGACTCGAATCGGGTCAAGCCGGACCCAACTCAAATAATAAATGGGTCGAATTATTTTACTCTAACACGACTAAAAAAAATTTGAGTCAACCCGAACCTAAATTTTTCGAGTCAAAGTTGAGTCATTTTGCCTTGTCATATCAATTTTTTACACATAGGGGCATCATTTTGGATCGACGGGTCAGGTTTGAGTCCAACCAAAAAATGACAGGACCCGAATCGAGACAACCCGAACCCGACCCGAATAATAAATGAGTTTAATTCTCTTACTCGAACCTTACTCAAAAAATACTTGAATCAGTCCGAACTCAAATTTTTTGAGTGATATTCAAGCCATGTTGGCTTGTCGGGTCAAATTTCTTACATCCCTCTTACAAACCAAATTTGGTTACAACAAGGAAGATGTTGGCTTCAATATACACCATTTAATATTTGTATCCACGCATGATTACAAATATCACTTCTCAGTCTTTTAAAAGATTTTTTATGGGTGCATTTTTCTACCATGCAAATTGGTTGCACTTTTTGTCATCGAAAGTTTTAATTGTGCATTTCTATTATGTACAACATGGTTATACTTATACTTTATTTAAGTACAACTATGGTGTACTCATACTTTTCATTGCTTGCATTCTAAATAGTTTTTATATTTTGGTCTCATTATTTTGTAATTGCAAACATTAGTTAATTTTTTCATTAATTTTTTTTCTTGGTTCATATCTCCTGTATAATCACGTTATATATAGCTATAGTACAGTATATTTCTTACAATCAAGTTGTATATGTTTGTACTATAGTTTTTTCTAGAGTCCAACCATATTATAGTGATTGTATTTTTCATTGCACACATTATAAATATTTTTTTTTACCTTATTATTTTGTTATTCGAAGCATAATTTCTTTATCGTTGATTTTTTTTTTTTTTTTGTACATGCATAACTCTTTTGCACAATCATATTGTATATGATTGTGATCTAGCTTTTCTCAAGTACAATCATATTCTAACGGCTATATTTTTTACCACACGCACATTCTAATATTTTTCACTTTTTGGCATCTTTATTTTGTGGTTGCAAACATGTCTTTATCATTAAAAAAATTCTTTATTTTCTTAGATGCATATTTTTTTCTTTACAACAATATGGCATGTGGTTGTACTTCAGCTTTTCTCAAGAACAATCATGTTATGTTAATTATATTTTTATTGCACCAACATTCTGAATAATTTTAATTTCTTAGCCTCTTTATTTTGTGATTGAAATCATAATGTCTTTGTCATTAAATTTTTTTTTGGGTGCATATTTATTATATACAAATAGGTTGTATTTATTATATTTTTTGTAGCGCGCACATTCTTAATGTTTTTCATTGATTAGCCTATTTATTTTGTGGTTTCAAACGTTATTTATTTGTCATTAAAAGTTTTTTTTTATAGGTGTGTATTTCTTTTATACTGTCATATTATATATGATTATGCTCTAGTCAATCTCGAGTACAACAATGTTGTATTAGTTGTATTTTTCATTACACGCACATTATGAACATTTCTCATAGCTTGGCTTCATTGCTTTGTGGCTGCAAATATCAATTTTATCATTTAAATGTTATTTTAATTTATTTTTATGCATATTTCTTATAGAAAATCATGTGTTTTTGTACTCTAGCATTTCTCAAGTACAAGCATATGGTATTGGTTGCATTTCATTGCACACATATTTTGAACATGTTTTATAGCTTAGCTTCGGATGCCCGAAATCTATTATGAGTCGGGTCAGTCAATTACACAATTATACGCATTGATTAAGTAATATACAGATAACGAGTTCATATATCTATCCCGAGAGGATAGTTGTCAAAATATTTCAAGTATGTTTTGATTATTCTATATTATTGATCAAATTAGTCATATAGACAAAAACAATTTAAATATGTTTTTTTTTTTGTTAACAGTGAGTTTTTCCCCGTAAATATTTTTTGTCTTTAAATTTCATATATCGGTGTGCTAACTTTTTAGCTTTAATTTACTTAGATTCAAACCCAATTGAATGTTAAAATCCCTTGTGATCTAGAATTTCCAATCACAGCCTGAAAGAACAAGTTAACCTAGTGGAATAAACATATTATCATTAGAAAATTACAACCTGAATAACAAATATGGAGAATCATAAAAAATGCTGCATAATTGAGACCTTAACCATAATATGGTTTCCAATGCTTGTTATGACCTAGACATAGGCTAAGGAAGATTGTGTCCATTATTTTCAATTATCACGTAGGGGAACTCAGGAAAAATATAGAGATAAATTTAAACAGGTGTCATAGGAGTATAAGCTTTATCGCCACTAAAGGACTCGATGGCATTGTTAATGGCATGAAAAATTTTGTTTACCTTCCACCCTAAGACAGCTCCAACAATAAGAGCACTTGCATCACACTTTAATTAAAAAATAGTTATTGTTAGTTACAATAATTATGAGTGTAGTATTAATTTTTTATTTTAATAATTCAAAAGCTTCTAGGGATTCTTATTTAAAATAAATAGGCACTTTCTTCTATAATAAATGATCTATTATGGTCGAAGCATTCACTTAAAGGTTCTATGGGCTCCACGAGTCGCGGTAAGCCATGTGTGATCTTAATACAGTCTCGTATCACTCAAAAAGATATCTCATATGTGTCGCATAAAAAATGGATGTTAGCAGATGGTTAAAGCCCTTTCATAACCACCTTTTTTATGGTTTTAAATGTAGAAAATTGCTCCTAAGTGACTCGATTTGGACAAAAGGCACCAAAATCATATCGGAAAAAGACTTGGTGCTTCTGCATCAGGCTCTTTGATGCAGGCGTGCTAAGCTTGCCTGGCATGAAAGTGCTAAGACCTTTACACAGAGGCGTCAGTCGGGCACGGGAACGCAAGCCTCCAGGCGCAGATTTTTCATGTTCTTTGACTTTTGGGTGCAGGGCACCGCTATCTTGGTGTAGAAGCACCAAACAAAGGGAGGCACATGTGTGTTTTTATTGGAGATCATTAAATCAATTTATCATTTATTAGAGAAGAATCAACATTTTTGTTTTTTAAAAAATTCCATAAAGCTTTTAATTATTAAAATTAAAAATTAATCACTACGCTCATAAATATTGCATCTAACAAAAATTTTTCTTTTGAATTATTGTGTGATGTAAGTGATTTTATTGTTGGATTTATCTTGGAGTAGAGGATAAATCTATTTTTTTTTCATGATGTTAAATATGCTAAAAAGGCATTATTAAAAAATTCTTAAATTAATTATTTCGCCGCTAAAATAGTATTACATTTGACAAGTTTATATTTTATTTGATTGGTACCAAAGTTATTATATATACTATTACCATGTTATCAAATACCTTATAATGCAGAAGGATGCCAAACTTTGTATTATCAAATGGCTCATTATATTACAAGAGTTTGTTAGAAGGGTATTGAGAATCAAGTGATTCGTCAACTGTATAATCTTGAATAGAGAAACTACGTGTCTATTAACATGATATTATAATGAGTATTTTTCAAATGACAAATCATTTGCTCCAGTTGAGCAAACCATTATTTGGTATGAAAACATCATCAAATTTTGTTTTGAGTGGTAGTTGATGCCCAAAATTTGCTATAGGGAAGGTCAATCAATCAAGCAAGTATATGTTTTGATTAAGTAATATATAAATAAATAGTTTAGGTATCGATCTCATGAGGATGGTTGTCAAAATATTTCTAACATATGAAGTTCTAGTTTACCAATTCGTTAAACATAGTTTGAAGTAATATAGTGATAGGAATGAAAGCCTTCAGGGTCTTAAAAATATATTAAACAAAAATGGTCACAATAAAGGAAGCAACAAAAAAGGAGGGAGCAACTTCGAGTCATTCAAAAGTGATGAGGCACATTCTCCCGCAACATTGATATAACGTTCTCACTATTTTTTTTTTTTTGTATTCCTTACAAGATAATTGACAACCAATGTTGCAATCCTTCTTAACCTAGGTCTAGTCCATAAAAAGAGTTAAAAACCATATTACAGTTAAGGAGACCTTAACCATGCAACATTTCTCAGGTTTTTTTCAGATCCTCTATCTAGGTTGCAATTTCATAATGGTTATATGTATATTCCACTGGGATGTTATGTGTTAACCTACTTTTCTTCTAGGCGGCAATTATATTAATGGATTACAAGAGATTTTAACAATCTATCAGACCTGAATTAAAGTAAATTAAGACAGGAAAGTTAGCACATTAATATACAAAGTTTAAAGGAACAAACTGTTTATGAAGAAAAACTCGTAGTTAAAGCATAAGAAAAAATATGCTTACTTCACAGGAGCACAAAATCATTTTTAGTTATGAGATATGAGATAGGAAAACATCAAATATTTCATTGAAAGTATTGAAGATATAAGTGTAGGAAAGTAAAATTTACAAACGAGCCAAGTTCTCCCCACATAACACCAAGTCCTCACTAATAATGAGAAACTCTCCATAATCTTCCTCATACAACAACACTAAATTTCTTTCTCTCACAAAAAGACACTTAAAACTCAAAGCTAAAAGCACCATAGAAGTTCTCTCCCCAAATGAAGAAGGAAGAAAGCACTAGGGTTTGAAGTGGAACCCTAATTCCTAACGTAAGAATCCTCTCAAAATTTGCATGTCTCAATTAGGGAGTCCAGAAGCATCTCCTGATATGCAATTTCTAAATCTATTATACAAAAAAGATGCCAAATCAAGACTTTGGTTGGCGTTGACATAGCTATGCCCGTTCTTGGTGTATCGCAAACCGACGTAGCTACACCTGGCTCTGTCATAATTATATCAGACACACTAAGAGGCTGACGTAAATTATGCTAGAAAGTGGTGTAATTATGATCTGGATTACAAGAGATTTTAACAATCTATCATATCTGAATTAAAGTAAATTAAGACATGAAAGTTAGCACATTAATATACAAAGTTTAAAGGCACAAACTGTTTATGAAGAAAAACTCGTAGTTAAAGCATAAGAAAAAATATGCTTACTTCACAGGAGCACAAAATCATTTTTAGTTATGAGATATGAGATAGGAAAACATCAAATATTTCATTGAAAGTATTGAAGATATAAGTGTAGGAAAGTAAAATTTACAAACGAGCCAAGTTCTCCCCACATAACACCAAGTCCTCACTAATAATGAGAAACTCTCCATAATCTTCCTCATACAACAACACTAAATTTCTTTCTCTCACAAAAAGACACTTAAAACTCAAAGCTAAAAGCACCATAGAAGTTCTCTCCCCAAATGAAGAAGGAAGAAAGCACTAGGGTTTGAAGTGGAACCCTAATTCCTAACGTAAGAATCCTCTCAAAATTTGCATGTCTCAATTAGGGAGTCCAGAAGCATCTCCTGATATGCAATTTCTAAATCTATTATACAAAAAAGATGCCAAATCAAGACTTTGGTTGGCGTTGACATAGCTATGCCCGTTCTTGGTGTATCGCAAACCGACGTAGCTACACCTGGCTCTGTCATAATTATATCAGACACACTAAGAGGCTGACGTAAATTATGCTAGAAAGTGGTGTAATTATGATGCTAGTCCAACATATTTTCATGCTTCGTGTTTTTGGTTTAACAACACGCTATTGACTCCTAGAACCTGCAAAATAATATATTACACTCAAATATAATTGGTTGATCTCTAATTGTTGGATGAGGAAGGTGGGACACTTCTTCTTAAAACCATCTTGATAATTTTGTTTCGTATTCTTTCTACGTTGCAAGGTAAGAACATCAACAATTTATTTCTCCATGCTTTTAGTATTTTATTTTGGGATTCATTGTTTTACAATTACTTGTAGTTTAAATGGCAATATATATAAAAATATATATTGAGATTCTTCTTATCCCTGACTGATGATTAGGGCCGTGAATTTAGCTCGAAGATTTGTTAATCTCCCAAAAATTAATTAGAATTTTAGTTCGGATCGAAATCAGATCGAAATAAACAAGCTGAGTTACGACCCAAAAATTTGAATCGATTTCGAGCCAACTGCAGTTTGGTTTGAAATCAAACATTAACAATCCCATTGATGTTAATGTCGTGAATTTAATGAATTTAGCTTAAGATCATTGATGGCACGAAAGTTGATTCAAATTTTGACTCAAATAAATATGCCAAAATAGGAGCTAAAATTTAAGATCAAAATTTGACATCGAAATCAGATTCTTAACAGCTAACAGACTCATCACCGTTTGTATTTCCATCAACAGTCGAGATAAACTGTCGAATAGAATCCCGAACCACGAGTATGGTCAATTATCTGCAAACGACCGAAATCCTCATTCTTAGAAAAAATATTACATCAGTACTACGCACGTAGAGTAACGTGCGTACCCAATGAAATCATATTTATTTCTCCATGCTTTTTGTATTTTAGTTTTGAGATTCATTGTTTTAGAATTACTTGTAGTTTAAATGGCAATATATATAATTATATATATTGAGATTCTTGTTATCCCTGACTGATGATTAGGAAATTTAGCTCGAAGATTTATTAATCTCCCAAAAATTAATTAGAATTTTAGTTCGGATCGAGAACAGATCGATAAACAAGCCGAGCTACGAGCAAAAAATTTGAATCGATTTCGAGCTAACTGCAGTTTGGTTTGAAATTTAACATTAACAATCCCATTGATGTTAATGCCGTGAATTTAAAGAATTTAGCTTAAGATTATTGATTGCTCGAAAGTTGATTCAAATTTTGACTCAAATAAATATGCCAAAGTAGGAGCTACAATTTCAGATCAAAATTTGACATCGAAATCAGATTTTCAACAGCTATCCCGAACCACGAGTTTGGTCAATTATCTGCAAACGACCGAAATCCCCATTCTTTAATCTTTAAAAAAGATGAAAAACCACGTTTCGTGCTGTTTTTCTAATTACGTTGATCTCCTCATTCCTCTATCGTGACCTCCATGGCTTCGTCTCCACCATTCTTAATGCTGTTTTTCTAACCACGTTCATCTTCACATTCCTCTATCGTGACCTCCATGGCTTCGTCTCCAGCCTCAGTGTCCAGAATTTTACACAAAGATTGCAGAGTTGTTATTCAATTTTACAGGCAAGGGCATTCCTTATCCTTATTTGCGCGGATGCCTCAAAAGCATTACAGTATGTGCTCTTTCTGTTTTTTTTGGCTTCTGTGATTGTTATTATTATTATTTTTTATAGTAGCTTTAGAATTAATTTGAAGTTTGTTGCTTAGGTGGGAAAATAGTTTTGGGAAATCGGTGGGCGACGGTTGGTGGAGAAGGACCTCGATGTATTGACATTAGTTGCCTGAAACCAGTGTCTGCTACTACAGTTACCAAGTATGAGGGAAATGCTTACTTTTTGGACTTTAAAGAGTGTTTCTTTGAGTGATAGGCATCAAGATGGGATGTTTTCATGCTGTTTTTTTTTCTATTTTTTTGGTATTTAACTTTATAAATGCTGAAATGAACTTCCACAGGGCGATGATCTTCAATTATTTAAATAATTGGGCCTTTAGGATGTTAGAACCATGTAATATAGCCTTATTGATTTTTATTGGAAATTAGAATTTGGGTATTTTTTCAATGTTTGCTTTCATGACATCTAGAACGAACGTCCATGAAGGGATGACCCTGAGGCGATTTTTGGCTGCAGCGTGGATTTACATTAAATAGGATTTATCAAATCTAGTAAATCCGACGAGCTCGTGACGGAGATAGAGGTCTCAAACAATGATAAAGTAAAGCATTTGAATTCCTCTCAATCAGATTTATTAAATCCAGATTTACGTCTCTTTTGAGACGAAATGATGTGGAAAGAGACGAAACACAAAGAAATTCGATTTAACGGAGCGTTGGATTTAACTTTCATTTTTCATGTGTTTGGCTTGATTTAAGTTGAATCCATGGCTAAATTCGTGGTATCAAACGCCCCCTGAGTTTTTTTACATAATTATGCTTTTGTAATGTTAGAACAACGTAGAATAGCTTTTCTTGCTGATTTTTGGACCCTCTGATTTCATTTTTTTTTTCACCTGTGTAAATTAGAATGAATTTTCATTGAGCAATGATACTGAAATTTTTGCATGACCGAGCTCTTGGAATGCTCGAATCATGATGATCTTAAATTGTTGATAATTAAGCAACTGAAATGTTGCAGAATTTTAAAATATCTTTTTTGATTATTATTGACCTTAGGATTTGAGTATTTCCACCCTTTTCACTTGCATAAATTCTAGAATGAACTTCCATGGGCTAATTATCCTGATTTTTTGCATAACTGAACTTCAGAAATGTTAGAAAAATATGTTCATAAACTTTGTGATGTGTATTGGACCTTTGGCTTTCAGTTAACAGTTCTGAACTCGAATTGTTTTCTGCATTAGGACAATGAAAGTGACTTTGGGATGGTTTTTTTCTATATTTGTTTTTGTAGAAACCAAAAGTTTTTGTGTAAAGCTGAAGCAAATATATCTGGGGATTTTCCAAACCATGCTTCTAATGGAATGAGCCGATATGAGAGGGTGGTTGAGCTGCTTACTACTTTCTTTCCAGTTTGGGTGTGATTTAACATACTCATCTCACTTTAGATCCATTTTTGAGTTTCATGTTATCGATAATATGGATGACTCGCATCAATAGGCTAACTTTTATAGGTAATTTTGGGAGCAATTATTGGTGTTTACAAGCCTGCTGCAGTAAGTGTGTGGTCATACTTTATTAAATTTGGTAGTTAGTGCTGGTTTTCCATATGCAAAATTTCTTTTCATGGTTTTGCCTTAGGTTACTTGGTTGGAAACAGACCTTTTCACTGTTGGATTGGGCTTCCTCATGCTTTCACTGGGCCTAAATTTGACTTTTGAGGATTTCAGAAGATGCATGTGCAATCCATGGACTGTATGAATTACGAACTTGGAAATCCTTGCATTTGGCATATCTTTTTCGATTGTTTGACATTCTTGCTATCTTTCTTTGCGCAGGTTGTTGTGGGATTTCTAGCACAGTATTTAGTCAAACCTCTCCTAGGCTTTGTCATTGCGATGGTATGTAGATCCATTAGCCTGAACAGACATTTAGTTTTCACTTTGCTTCTTTCATTTCTTATGAACTACTTTTAAAGTTCCATTTGATCAGATTTAGTTCTTGGTTTATACTAGATAATGCACAACATCAAGTAGATCTTAACAGACACCACATTCTTTTCCATCTTGATGTAATCTTTATCTCAAATAATTATCAATTTTTTTGAAAATTAATTAAACTATTTTAGTTATCGGTAGTTAGTGATTAGAAAGTGATTAGTTAGTAATTGATGATGTATCATTCATGCGAAGTTTGTATAGCTAGCCATGCTTAGTTGAAAGGATCATCAAAGGTTACTTCAAGGCTCTTCACACATTTGAAACCTTCCCACTCCCCACTTGTAATTGTTGGCCTCATCAAAGCATACATTCATATTCATATTAAGTCACCAATCCATGAATGAAGGCCCCTCCTCTCGGAATCATTGGCTTTCATCTTTTAAAATTCAAATCTAGAAGCTACATTTAATTGCTTGGCATCAATGTTGCTATGAAAAATGACGCCAATAAAGCAAAAAATGGCACGAGTAAAATTGCACGCAGAAAAACACCAGAGCGACACACAGATTTACGTGGTTCGACAAATTTGCCTACGTCCTCGGAGCTGCAGAGGATTTTATTTCTTCGAGGAATTACACTGTCGAGCGCCTCGACGTTTACAGAAAATCTCTATTTTCTTCTTTCCCTTCCCTCTCTCTCTCTTCCTCTCTTTCTCTTAGCTCTCAAGAGGATTTGGCTTGGCTTATGACAAGTCATAAGATGCTATTTATAGAAACCCTGAGAGCGGTAGGTGGGAGGTAGGTGAGCTGTAGGTGCGATGTGGTAGGTCAGCGGTAGGTGAGAAGTATGTGAGCGGTATGTGAGATTCTTTAATTAGGAAGCTAATTAAATTTCGGTGGACCGGGTCTCCACGTTACCCAACAAATGTATGATTCCAAACTCCATTCAAGTGGATTCAAAGGAAAAAAACAGTGAGCACTTCTCTTGATAACCACCAGCCTCATCTTATTGTATCCATCCTTTGATCTTATGTTGAATTTAAAATGGTATAAGGAGAATGGTAAAAATGATGAGGTGGTGTAAGAGGGAACTATTGCTGTTGAATTTGAAGTGAAGAATATTTTCTTGGATTGAGGCTTGGTGGCCAATGCATTGGTTGAATATTTAATATTAAAAGACCTGTACAATTCTTTGATGTGAATTGTATTATCTTTTTATCCTTTTGTTTTCACTTATAAATGTTCTGTGTTTTTCCTCTACCAATTTCCATCAATAATTACATTTCATTTGCTAGCTTTCGGCCTCCCTTGCAAAGGAAATTCCAAATAATTTTAAGCCGTTGGTTTTTCCACTCTTCACTAATGCTAAGGCCACCCCTTCTTCCACTAGCTTTCACACCTTATTAACCTACAAACAACCTTACGCACCCTTCCCCACTTCTTTGTCTCACCCAAAAGTACTCTTACCTGAGCCCACACCAACAACCAAGCTTCAAATGTTGATAATAATAATAATAATAATTCTCTGAGCTCATATCTTTCTCTGCCCCTCCATAATGCTTGATCACCCTTATGCCCCATCACTGCATGATCATCCATAGTTTCCCCTCTTCATCCCTATAGCTTATTGCCCATCTCAATAGAACTCGGCTCCTTTGAAATGCTAACCCTCCATCATTGCATGCGTGCATGAATTATTAGTTTAACTAATGTATAAGTGGAGTTACTTGAGATTGGGATAGGAATGGATCCAATGGTAGAATATAGCCTTTATTTTACCGGTTCAAGTTGATGAAATCGGTATAGAAGTCTTTCAGGTTGTTAGTGCCAATATTGTATTCTTTCTAGTAGAGGATTCAGGGATTATTACAATATGCCTCGTAATGCAATTCTTGATCAAAGGGAAATGTAGATGTTTGTGTCATTAAAGTATTTTTAACTTGTTACACTGCTATTTAATGAGATAAATGTAGGTGTGAGTTCTTTTTGCTAATGCACTGGAAATGCCTCCCAGTCCCTGAGGTACCACACTTTAATGACGTCTTAAACGTTATATATTATTGCATGATTAAGTTGTCACTAATATTATATATCATTGTCCCTTTTTCAAATCAATTAGTCAGCTTCCTCTTTTTATAAATTATTAATCTCTTACCATTTTTATGTCAGAAATTTAGTTTATCCATTTGATTGATATTTGAGAGTAATAGACAGACTGCTTGGTGATATTCCTTGAGTAGTTAACATTACACAATGAGTATATTTGACTTGAGATCTCTTATTTTTAGACTCTCAAATTGTCTGCCCCTCTTGCAACTGGTCTCATATTGGTATCATGCTGTCCTGGTGGCCAAGCCTCTAACGTTGCAACTTACATATCAAAAGGAAATCTTGCACTTTCAGTTCTCATGACAACGTAAGTATTTATTATAGTTCATGATGCCGTCAATAGTTGGTGTAGCAGCTACACTCTTCTCCTTTTTTAGGTAAATATCTTTTATAATACAAGATTTCAGCATGCTAATGATGCTAATGGTATTAAATTTTTTCGTGTAAAGAAAACCATTTTATTTCTACATAAAAGTGTTGGCATAATTGTTTTTAGTAATCGTTAATTTCTAAGCATTACCAAAATTTTGATGATGTAAATTCTATTTACTATAAATATGAGAACAACAATATGTAAAGGGGACTTTTTCTCGAGAAAAAGGATAAGGGGAGTACTGAATTTTAGTGCTCATAAGACTTCAGTCTTTCTCCACTCTCTCTCTCTTTCTCTCCTTATGCTCTATTTTTAAGGTGTGATTTATGCCACCCTAAATAGTGTCGTGAGCGTGGATCATGCGATAGACAAGAAGAGAAGTGACTCAAAGAGAAAAATCTTAATCTTGGGAAATCATCATCAACATGACTTATATTCATGAGTTTGTGACTCAACAGATCAACGAACTCAATGAGCAGATGCTAGAGGGAATCAGAGGTGCTATGGGCACCGGGAGAGCTCAACTGCAAAGACCAACAACATCCTGTCGCCTGTGAAGGATGACCACTCTGAACGAAAAAGGAGCACTGAAGCGGATCAAGACACACACCACCCGACAGCGTAGGTTATGCACTTCAAATCTTCAAAGTCAAGCCCTCAAAAATTCGGAATGTTCTAAGGTCGTAGCTTTCTACTCCTATCGGGGACGATCTGATCTTGTTGACTGCATCACTTCTTTCGAGTCGACCGTATGCTTATTAAGAATCAACGATGTGCTCTAGTTTTGCATGCTCTTCACGACACTTAAAGAGTTGGCTCTCCATTAGCTCAATGGTACACCGCCTAGAGTTATTACCTCCTATGCAGATTTCAAGAGAATGTTCATGACCCAATATGCCAACGCACATAAGCCTCAGAGAAATTTGCAAGCTCTCGTGGAACTGCGCCAAGGGTAATGCAAATTATTGTGCGCATTTATAACCCGCTTCTAGAGAGAAATGCTGGAAGTCTGGGCTTTCGAACCTATGGTCGCACATGTCACACTGGCAGAAGGACTCATGGAGACCCCTTTTTGCCGCGCCCTCGACCAGTGGCCGCCAAAGGCTTTGGCTGAGCTTTAAGAACTCGCCAACCACTATATATCCACCAAATAGTACAATTATCCTCTTACCTCCGAAAAAGGGTCACCCGGTCGATACCCATCAAAGAGAAGCACCCACAAAGGAGGTCTTGTGGAGGTTGGAGACCAAGGCGAAATCCACATTCGTCCGCTAGGGCTCATTTTAGGAAGTCGCAATCACCTTTGGAAGACTGAGTGAGGGGCATATTTGTTCGCGCTTCTTTTTGTTCTGACCGAAACGGTCTTCTTAGCGTTTGTAAATTTCATATCCCCATTCTTGGTCACTCTTATAAAAAGAAAAGGAAGGTAAGACTCAAAATGGACAATAATTAATATGAAACAGAAAGAGTAGCTGCGAAGATTCTTATATAAAAATATTCTAGTAAAATAACCCGGAGAAGAACAATCCAAACTAAAATTAAACCATACTCGGCCCACAAAAATACACAAGAAAGGTCCTATAGAAAGATCCTCGCAACCAAACTATAACACAAAAATCAAATTTATTTTGTTTTGGGTTCAAGAGACCTTCTGTGATGTTGTATCCTTATTGTCAATTACATCATGAGAAAAAATCTGCTAGACTTGTGAAGAAAGGTATTGTGTTTTCTTTATAATAATTTTTTGAAACATAGGCAGTCGAGGAGTTTTTTGGCAGTACCTATAGAGTAAATCTTTCAGGCATCAAGACAAAATTAGTCTATCAGACGGAGGGTGAATCGCAGTCCCAATTTTGCATTGGAGCCGAGTGAAAGCTTGTCATGGAAGGACTGAAAGACTTGTGCAACTTCACATATTTTTTTTTATGAGGAATATCCAATTTATTTTAGTGTGAGCATCAATAAAGGAGAAAAAACCATCTGACTCCATTAATGGTTTTCAGGTGATGGTTCCCAAATATCACCGTGGATGATGGAGAAAGGATGTGAGGGTTTGTATTGGGATAGAGGATAGTAATGACGAATATGTTTAGCCAATTGGCAAAATTCACACCGATAAAACTCTAGCTTTTTATTAATAAAGAGATGAACACACAAGTTCGCAATATGATGCAATTTAAATGAACCGGACGACAATGCCATAATAGAACTTGACTTTCGATAGAATCATACAGAACTGACGAAGGAATATGAGAAGAGGGTGATGAAGAAGACATTTGTGTGTTAAGAGAATAGCTTCTCTTGAGTAGGTATAGACCTTGATACAATTTAACACTGTTGATCACCTTCTCCTTATCCACCATCTGAAATTCACAAGTGTTAAAACGAAATTTAGTAACACATGTCAAGTCATGAGTAGGCTTGGTAATTGACTACAAGTTGCAATCTAGTATTGAAATATATAACATCGAAGAGAGCTGAATATCTTTGGAGACTTTCACTTCTCATTTCCCAAGAATTCTAGAGTGAGATACATTGCAAGTTTGAGAAATTTTGAGTCGGTCATATCTTGGTAGTTGGAGAGAGTATGAATATCTCTAGTCATGTGATCAGAAGCACCTGAATCTATTATCCAAGGTTGAAATCTTTCATTATCAACGAGATATGAGGACATGATATCTTGTTGTATCATCAAGTTGATAGGTCGCTCAATTATGCTCGAAAGAAATTTTCTTACTATCTTTAGTTGTTCCTTTGTGAAAGGGCTAGGGTCGATCGACCATTCAGAAGAGGTGGCCGCATGGGCCTTATTGTATTGATTTTTCCTCCCTTACTCAGGTTTCCATTATGTAGGCTTTCCTTATAGTTTTCAACACTTGTCCTTTTTGTGACTATATTTATTGCAATGTTGACACATGGGGTGATTAAACTTCGGATTGGAACTCGAAATCTTCATACAACACTTGGTCATAAACCCTGTGTATTTAGGGTTGCAGCTTTTTAAAGGGAGAAAGTTGGTCGTTGTTACAAGAAAAATGGGTCTGGCTGCAACAAGTTGAACATTAGAGGCTTGCAAGGAGAATCCAATGTAGAAGGGCCTGAATGGATCCGGCCGCAGGGTAGCTGAAGGGATACCGACAGCTGTCGGGAGAAGTTCCGGTGACTGGAATGAATTTCTGTGGCTGTCACTTGCTGCTGTAGGCAAGGAACGTCTGTTGCAGTGAGTTGTCTAGTTTTGGATTTCCACTTCAGAATAAAAATTGGGATTTCCACGGGAGAGAGGAAATTCCTTATAGATGACGCCTGCTTCTTGAAAACACAGTGAAGGATTGGCACCTACTGGGAAGGAATCACCTATTGGATGATGCCTGCCGCTTGGAAACGTAGTGAAGGACTATTGCCAGCAAGAAGATTGCCTGTTGGGAACGGTCAATGCCTCGGGGAAATGCTGAAGGACTGGCGGCTGCAGGGAGAGGCTCAGGCGGAGGAAGAAGAGCTAAGGTTTGTGACCAGGCTCTGATGCCATGAAGAAAGACAGAGCAAATCATGATATCTTATTTTTCAATTAATCAAATTACAACTCTTCTCCTTGTTCCTTGGGGCAAACTTAATTACAACCATTATAACTTCACAAAGATAAAATAACTCAAGAAGAAAATAAATATGACATAATAAAAAGAGAAGAAAATTAAAATAGAAAATTTGGAAATCCACTTTTGTTGTTATTTTTTTTAAAGTTCTTATATATTATGGCTTGTATGTATAGGATCCTTCAGAAAATTTTGCCCAAGAATGAATTATATTGTTGCTTTGCAACTTTTTTGGTAAAAAGTGATACCCTGCAGCTGTAATCTATGAGTTTTATGATATTTCTTTTTCTGTTTTCCTTGTATTTTCTTAAACGAATAGGATAATCGTTTCCTTTGCGCTCTTTTCTTCTGAATGTGTAGATGTTCAAACATTGGTGCTATTGTTATGACACCACTTCTTACAAAGGTTCTTGCTGGTCAGCTTGTTCCTGTTGATGCAGCGGTAATAATAGGTGGCTTTGTTTTCCTTAATATTTACTTTTATAACCGAATGATGGCATCTCATAGGAGTTGTATGCCAATTTTTGTTTTATTACCTGAATGTGTAAATTTCTTTCTTCAGGGTTTAGCTATTAGTACTTTTCAGGTGGTTTTAGCGCCAACAATTGTTGGAGGTAACTGAAAAGCATTTTAAATATTTGACAAATGTTGTATAGTTTTTTTCCTTTTTCTTTTGGGCGGAAAAGTATTTGTTTATTTGATTTGTGACGATTCTATTTATTTTCAGTACTTTTGGTTTACTTTGCTGCAGTGTTGGTACACGAGTATTTTCCAAAGTTTACCGAGCCCATAATTAAAATCACACCTTTGATTGGCGTCATCCTTGCTACATTGCTTTGTGCAAGCCCGGTAAGTTGGTCATTATACACTATAGAAAAGAATGCTTTCGGTGTAGATGAGATCGGGCTATACTGTTATTAGTTTTTTTTATAATCTAAGCTTGGCTTCTTGCTTAAACTATGCTTCTGCATTAATCTAATGGCCCATGTAGTTGCTGTAGATGGGGAACACGTTTGAGCATTTAATGTTTTCATCTTCACTCAATGCTCGTGAAAATGGAATCTTTATATCCGAGGGGTTTCTCAGGCTTAATTTTAACTCTTATCGATTCTATTTACATCCAAACAATGATGAAATTTACCAGATTTTATAAATTTCTATATTTGATTTCCTATTTAGGCAAAATCTGATTTTTTGGAGTAAAAAACATGTTTTGCAAAAAATGATAAAAGCCATTGCTTCCATCTATTTGTTTTTATCAGCAATCAACATTGGCTTTAAGCTGCACAAACAAACTCTCTCGATAGTAATAATTTGAATTTCATGTGTAAAAGTAGTTTAAACAAAATCACTATTTTTCAGAATATATTTTTTAACTGCAAGCAACATAGTGGCCCCTAAGCAGAATCTATTGTTTGGCATTAGTTCATTTTAACGTGGAGTTAGAATCTTGACTTGAAGTAACTCTTTGTTTGCATGTAATGGTTATTGTAAAATGTTCTTTTTCTTTGTAAAAGATTGCACAATTCTCAGAAGTGCTGAAGTCCGAAGGCGCGCAGCTTATAGTTCCTGTAGCTCTCCTACATGCTGCTGCATTTGTTCTTGGACATTGGCTTTCTAGGTTATCGACATTTGGTGAATGTACTTCTCGCACTATTTCCATAGAATGTGGTATGCAGGTAATTTTTTTCACCCGAACTCATGGGATTTGCTGAAAAAGATATAACTGATTTTTGTACTTGAGATATGAATTTATGCATATGATGTTGGTTCATGAAGCTAAAAAATTTGAAATACCGTAAGGGTTTCTTGGGATAGAAATTTTATGAGTAAAGTGTCAAAATAGTCCAGTGACTGTTTAGATGGAGCTATTTTAATCCCAAAGTTTATAAAAAGCTCAAATTAGTCCCCACTCTTTAAATTAAGGGCTTAAATAATTCTTCGTGGGATTATTTCCGCCAGTATTAATAGTCTTAGGACTTAATTGATATTTTTATAAATTCTGAGACTAAAATGACCCTTCGCAAAGAGCCGGGGGAGTCTTTTTATACTTTTCTAGAAATTATATCATCTTCAGTGCTCAGACCAGCCAAGCATATTACTCGTGCCATGTTTGTACTTTCATATGCAACCTAATAGGTATCTGGTTCTTTCATATCTTAATGATGAGAGTATCTCCTAAAACAATATGTTTATCTCTTTAAAATGCTGATTGTCATTTTGATTCATTAGCTACTATATATTCAGCACATTTGGATGAAATCTCTCTACGTGCTGGTTAAGTTCAGTTTCGCAGAAGATCATTTTACTTATTTTCTTGCAGTGTTAGTATTCTTCAATTTGAATTGTATTGCCAACTAAACCTGTTCTCCCTGTGAAACCTCTTGTTGAGGTGATGCAGTATAAGCTCATCCATATCTTAAACCTTGATAAAATTTTCTGAAAAATCAAAATTAGACACATCAAAATTGCTTCTAATCTCTTAATGCCTTTCTGCAGAGCTCGGCGCTAGGATTTCGACTAGCCCAGAAGCACTTCAGAAATCCTTTAGTCGCTGCGCCTTCAGCCGTCAGTTTTGTGTGCATGGCAGTATGTTTTCTAGTTTTTGCATTTACTCAGAAAGCCATCAAACTGATAGAGCTGGTTCAGAATTTTATTTATTTTTTCCATTAAAGCTAGAATGAATGTTCAGACTCTAAGGTGCTGTCTGACAATAGATGAGATTTGAGATTTAAATTAGTAGGACTTAGTAAATCCTGTTAAATTCAGATTTAGTAAACCCTCAATGGGTTAATCTCAAAAATTGTTTGGCAATAGATTTAATAAATCCTATAAATCCAGTAAAATTGTATGGCAATTTTTGCTCTATCCGACTCTTCCCGCCTTAAATCCATAGAGGGCGAACTTAAATCTACCAATTCGCAGGATCTACTAAATCTGGGCTTTACGGATGAAATCCATGAAATCTAAATTTATTGCATCACCGGATTTATTTTGTCCAAAACCACCGTCTGCAAGATTTCACTTACACCCTGCATAAATCCTTACCTAAATCCGTTGCCAGACTGCCCCAAAATATCTAACTTAGCCTCATTCTTCGACAGCTCGGTGGAATTGCCCTTGCAGTTTTCTGGAGAAACTCACCTATTTCAGTCAACGACAAGGATGACTTCAAGGAATGAATCAGTAGCTGAATTACAGACTTTGTTGTCTTACTTCCAGGGGATTGCTGCTGTTTAATGGATGAATATGTTTAGTTCAGTTTATCAGAATTAAACTTAAAAGAGGTTTTTTAGAGGGTTACTTTTAGTTAAACAGGAGAAGAGCACCCTTTGGAGCTTAGTTATATAGATTGGGCTGTTGTGAACTATTTATCAACTGATGATATTTGTTGCAGTTGATTCTGGAATAAAGATGGATGAAGCGATCTAATGATGGTTTCTGAAGCATCATTTTGGCATATTTTTTGGGTTTTTCTGATGCTTGGTTTGTATGAACAGAAGCATTTGACATAATTGATTCTTTTGGCTTAACCAGGAAGGTATCTCTGGATCCACTCCCTTAAAAATTTCTTCCTTGGTATAACATTTGTGAATAAGATAATGATGATCACTGGCAAGCTTACTAGACTACTCAAAATCTAGTATGAGGCCTGATAATCACAATGAGCATATACTGAGTAATAGTATAATCAAAATGATATTAGAAATAAAATAAAATAATATAAAATAATAATAATTATTTTTATTTATAATATTATATAAACAATTTTTTGCCCATTTATATCTCTACTTCTACTTATGCTTCCACTTGTCTATATTTACTTTTTTTATTTGCATTCATTTCTACTCATTATGTTACTTATTCACATCTATTCAAACATATCAAACACATTGATGTATAATTGTATGTGTGTAAGCTATTATAACTCTACTAGAATGCACATAATAGACAGAAGTATAGAAATATTAATAATTTTAACATACAGAGGCGGCGAACTTATGTTTAAACAGGGGTTTAAACAGGGGGGCCGATTGCCTCATGAACTTGCCCCCTGAAGTTAGATAACCTCTTTGTCAAGGTGATCAATTGCGTTAGTTGCTTGCCTAAAAAATATGATCGAGAAAATATTTGTATGAAAGTTATTTCATGTAGTATGAATGTTTTGATTTGAGCCCGGCCACCAAACAACCCAAGCTGATCAAAATCAGAAATTAGAGTTATTAGAGAATCCAAAAACAACAATCTGAGATTGCATGCCCAAGATCGCCTACATATCACTCAATTCTTATATATGTGTATATCCAACACTAAACTTTTTTGGTTCATATATATCACCTGGCCTACACATTAAAAGGTGTATATTAATTTTTTTAACTTAAAATAGTGGTTTTCAATTATAATAATAATAATTTTTTTTATCTGAAATATATGGGTTGTATAATGTTCACTGTCAGAGGAGCACGCGTCTGTTTGAGGAGAAATTATTTCATACGGAGTGCTTGCGCGGCTTTACTTGCGGACTCCGATAATATACCATCATGTGCGTTATATTGGGCCTACATAAAAAAAAATTAAAGTGAAATTGCGAAAGTTATTAAAGTGTAATCGCGAAGATTATTTGGGAGGGTTATTTAGGGGGTATTGAGAGGTTATTGGGGCATTAACTCTAATAATGTCGTAATAATCATCAATAATCCCCCGATAATCTCCCACGGTTTCACTCCAATAACCACATAATAAGCTCTGCGGTTTCGTTTCAATAACCCCTGAATTAACCCTTGCAATAAACCCCCAATAACTCCCCAATCACCTCAGCGATTTTACGTCAATAACCGCACAATAATCTGCATGTGGCGGCATATTACTCGAGTCCGCACGCAGAACTACATACGTACTTCGTATGGAATAATTTCTCTCAAGAAGCTTCCCTTCGTTGCTCCACTTGACGGAGCAGTCTTTGTCCACCATTCATTGCTCCTCTACTCGTTGAAGAGGCCTCAGTTTCCATCTGCGTTGCTTGCGTAGACGGATAGGCTTCGCGTCATTAACGATTGTAGAGATGGAGTGAAACTTCGAAGAAGAAACATGTAACATGTATTTCTCTCCAACCCATGGCTTTGTGCAAAAAAGAAGACGTAAAGTTGCCTTCCTCAATGGTTTTGGGCAGGAGAGGAGCGGAAGGAGGAGAAAAATGAGAGTTTTGGGTCACTGTAAGCTGCGATGCGCTCTTCGGTCACTCTGGCCGAAGACAGAGGACTGAACAAAAGTTTGTGGTTGATCGGAAGCAACTGAAGTAGCTGTTAGTTGGGGAGTGTTGTCGGGCTGAGAGCAGATGGAGGACCACAAAACAATTTAGTGTTATGCAAGCATATAAATATAAAACAATATGTAGGTAAATCTATAAATATAAATTAAGGGGTAGCTATGTAAATATTAAATTAAATATTTGATTACTAATTTTTTAAATTTATATCATCATTTTATTTTTCAAAAAGTGAAATACATCTTAGCATGCATAAATAAGGTGGTAGGTATGTAAAAATTGAAATTTAAGGTGTTAGATATGTAAATATATAAAAATTGGGTGCAATGTATGCAAATCATCCAAGAAAAAAATTTAACATAATTATCAAAATAATTAAAAAATATTAAGTAATGAGCATATATATTTTTTGATTAAAAGTAATATTTTTTAGCATAAAATTAATTTTCATTAATACTACCGCTAAACACCGTAATAACATCCGAATGCTACCGAAAAATAACACGAAAAATACTAGCTAAAGCAAAAGACATGAATAACACCGCACAACTCACAAAAAACAAAAAAAAACCCACATGAATAACAACGCAATAGTACTTAAATACTACTACAAAAAACATCGCGAATAAGCGGCTCTGGCAAAAGAAGCAAATAACACTGCGAGATCTCACTATTGGAGCGCACGAGAATGCAGAGACGTAAAAAAAATTCTCCGAATGTGAGAACTCTCGTGCGGCTTGTAATACAAAAGAAAACTAGCTTATACCGCAACACAACGAAGATAAGAAAACAACACCAATGTCAACATTTTCAAAAACGCCCAACAGCTGTTTCACTGCGCCAAACGGGCCCTAAGTTTAGAAAAATGAACAGCTTTTCTCATAGTATAATAAAAGTAAGAATAGCTACTAGGGTTATCAAGGATAAAGAGACTTGCCGAATAAATATATTGGAAGGTAGTGGTCATTAAATAAAATAAAGATATAAAAATATTGTTTTAGGTATTTTTAAAAAATATATATTTTTTTAAAATAAAAAATAAAGTTATAAATAAACTAGAAAAATGTATTTTAAAAAATCATAAGCAAAAATAAAAAAGATATAAAATAAATAGGCTACATAATTCTTATGTTTTTACATACCTAACACCTAATCATTCACATGAACATTCTAAAATCACATCAGAAAATAGAAGTACAACTCGCTTTCTATAAGCGAAATATTTTATTTCATACATAAATTTATGCCATCAAATTATTATAAATATAAATATAAAGATTAACATACTAAATATATAAACATATACAAATTATATCGTATTTACAAGTTTATCTAAAAAAAATTTCAAAAAAGTCCCAAAGTAATTTAATCCAGAAAAAAATATTTTCATCTGGAACAAATAGTTATGGACCTTCGGAAAAAATTTGCCTACGTAAGATGAACGCAACGCTGCGTACATAATGGATGTTATATAGGCGTTATATCGACATTATATTCACATTATATCCCTTGTAATATCCATATAACTTCCATGCAACCTACATATATGTGAAAATAGATGTGCATAATTTATTTATAAGTTTATGTAGGTTATAGGTATGTTATATAGAGATTATATAGAAATTATAAGGGATAACGCGAATATAATGCCGATATAATACCCATATAACATCTATTATGTAAGTACCCAAATTTTTTACATCAATTTTCGCTAGCTCGTAAAAAAATAAAAAATAAGAAAAAATAATTAAAAAAAGGAAGCCAATTGATCGCACGAGCCATTCCGTCCACACGTGTTTATGAACTGATTATCCATTTCCCCTGCCAAATCTGCTCCGAGCGTAACTGCAATGTGAAGCAAACGAACAGCAAGAGGAAGAGATTGGAAGAGATCCCAATCTTCCTCCCTCAACGATGTCTTCCTCCTGTTTCGGCCAGTTAGGGTTAAGTCAGAGTCAGAGGAACGCGATGCCTCCGCTCCACGGCAGCCGGAGCTCTCGACTGCTCCTCATTCCTGCAGCTCTCCGCAACTCAGTCCGTTTCCGATGCATGATAGGCGCGATGACTCCGAGGCTGGCCATATCGTCTTCGCTCGGCTCGATCATCGGAACCGGCAACGTGATCGCGGCGGCGGCGGGCGGGGGGCACTGGGGCGTCGCACGCCGGAGTGACGTCGGCGCTGGCTCATGTCGCGGTGACGGCTGTTGCTATTGCTTCGGGGGCGTGTCTCTCAACTAAGGTTGATTTTTTGTGGCCAAGGTTGGAGGATCAGCCGGGTATTGGATTCTGCTGTCCGATCTTTGAATCTTCCTTTTATCCGTTTAATAGACTTTTTGGTCAAATTATAAAATCTTTGTGGTACAGGAATCTCGTTTGAACGCTTTTTGAGCTCATTATTCTGCGGTTTGAATGGTCGCTAGCGGGATATTGTGTAGGAGGGCGCATTGATTTATTTTTGTATGCTGAAATTCTGCTTCCAGTCATCATGTCATGATCTGTGACATTGGCATGAAGATACCCATTATTAGGACAGTTTTTTTTTTTTTTTGCATTTATCCTCCCGAGACAATACGGTAATCATTATTCTCGAAGGAGGATTTATAACTCCAGATAGAACCAACCAATGAGCAATCTTTCTTATTATATATAAGAAGAGAATCTTGTTGATAATTTTCTTGACAAGAGTATAGAAAATTCATTTAGAGAATAGAATGTTGAATCTTATCTTGTGAAGTAAGTATGCAACAATAAGTGATTGAAAATGTTTCAGAACAGATAAGGAATAGTTGTCGAGAGTGATATTGGGTAAGAAGAATTTAGTATGTCAAGTTATTTATCAGTAGTTGCTTTCTTCCATATATCCATAAAACATCTTTTTACAAAATAGCTGATGTAGATGTTTAAAGCTATCATTTTCATCATCTCAAGACACCTCAAATTTTCAACATTTGTGCACAATAACTATTTATTTGATTACTATTCATGCTGATAATATTGTGCTACTATTCATGCGAAGTGCATGACAAATTTTGAGAAAATAGGCTAAATGCCTTTTTCCTTTGCTTTCATTCCAATAAATAATGATATCTGCAATCTATTTAAGGCATCTTAACATTACATAATAATTTGTCATAATACATATTCCAAATCTAACCATTCAGCTATGAGAAAAGAATATGTACAATTAATATACATAATTTAATTCCAGAAGATATTTTTAAATAATAATTTAATTCAACAATTTAAATAAGGAAACTATTAATTCTGCCCGATTTCAGTTAATCTCAATTGATATCCCCCCCCTCAAATTGATGCTAACTGATCAAAAAGTATCAATTTGGCAACAAGAAACTAATGGCGCTGCCGAGAAAAAACCTTAGTAAATATATCAATAGTTTGAAAATCAGAAGATATTTTAGGTAGGATTGTCGACGAGTAGGCATGTACTTGTGTGAACAGAGAAGGATCGTGCGCTTGAGTCCAAGTCGTCGAATTGATGCACAAACGAACGGGTGAAACAATCAAGAAGAGTGAACAACCGAATTGAGCGAACCAGACTAGCAGTCGAAGACGCGAGAATCAGCAGAAGCAGGGAGACTTGCTGTCTGGAGACGTGATTAGGGAGAGGAATTCAAAGTCGAAGCAAAAAATCCTCGAGCCTTGAGTGCCGAAGCCGTGATTTCCGAAGTAGTCCCGAAGCCGAAGTTGAAGCCTTTATTCCTTGAGCGTGACGAAGAAGATGAAGTCGAAGAGGATGAAGCAGAAGTGGAAGAAGCAGTTGAAGATGCCCCAGAAGTAGTGATGACTAGCGAAGAAGATCTGAAGCGGATGAAGCCTTCAATCTTTGAGTGCGACGAAGAAATCGAAGTCGAAGAGGACGAATTTGAAGCGGAAGAAGGAAGCAGCTGACGAAGATGGAATGAGCTTGAGTCGAAGATGAAGACGTACGATTCACAAAGGCTAGGGAAGACAATGAAAGATTTAGACCATGCTCACATTTTGACAATAAAAAAACCTTGTTTTATGATGCTAATCAATATTTCTTTTTAAAATGCATGTAGTCATTTCTTTGATAATAGAAAACATTGTTTTATGAAACCCCGCTCAATATCCCATATTGTGTTATCAACGGCAGAGATCCCAAGGTTCTTAAATGTATTTATATTATTCCACCATCCAAAGGCAACAAATATGCACCTACATTGAAGTTCATTTAAGAATCTTATTTATACCTCATGGAAATCCTGCATCAGGTTGATACACAATCACGATATAGGCATGACTAATCTGTGAGGGTTTCACCAAATATTTGAGGAAGAATAACCATGCTCACATTTTAATGTTGTGAAAATTTCTTTGGGTAGCGCTATGCAATTTATGTGGAAAATTTTGAGCTATTTCAAGACCAAATATTGGAAGTTTGTAGGTCTTTTCTACTTATACCGTTATAACACTTCTAGAAGGTATTTCAGAAGTGAAATTTGCGGGGAGGTGACTGTGGAATAGCAAGGAAATGATAATAGGCATTATCGACGATGTTGGAAACCCCTGCGACCCACTGTTTGATGTTCTGTACCATAGAACAATTACATATTTTCAAAGTAGTAGTTCACTAGTCCTATCTGACTATCTATTCATGGGTGCACCGCTGAATTGAATTGAAATGTAGTACTCAACTTACTTCATAGGGCCTTCCAAATATAGCTCAGAAAATTTTCATATCTATTTGAAATGACGTCATGCTGGACCACTCGCAGCGATGGCTACCTAATGTTCGGTATCGATTCCTCGAACTCATCGCATTTTGGGACAACTAATGCTAATCTTGTTGTTGCTTCTATCAAAACCTATAAAAGAATAATTCATGACACCTCATCCTCAAACATCTCAGACTTATTTCAAGGCAAGGGTACAATGCGCTTCCCACCTTTGCTGAAAGAGTATGTGTGCGTGTATCCATTATGATTCGTGCAATGATCATACTGTCAAGGACAGCCTATAGGATGTGACAGACATTCATAGGTACTGCTTTACACCACACAGACTCTTGTAACTTATCTCTCATGGAAAAATTAGTGAGACATCTCCTATCAACGCTGATCTTACTTTTCTTCAGTCAAGTCCAGGAATATGACTGAGAATATTTTTGAGTAGCGATGCTCAATTTATCCATCAACTCTGTAGATGCCACATTTTCACAACTCTCTTTATTAATAATGAGGCTACAAACTTTTTTCTTCACGGTGCAATGGGTGCAAAATATGCATGGCTATAGGTGACCTCACCTGATTGTCTCCTCTAAGTGGTGGCAAGTCTCTTTTACAAGAGGATTTCTCATTGCATATCTTTCATAGTAAGCTTTTGGACTTTTTTTTTGTGAATTTCTCCTAGGAGGTATTGTGTCTTCTTCCCCCGATCAGATTTTTGGTTGATGTAGGATTGCAAGTCAATGTTTGTTAGGGTTCATGTTTTATGGGTAGGTGTTAGGGTGAAATTTTTTGTTGTGGTAGTAAAGTTAGGTTATGAAAATTTTATGGTTGGAGCTAGGAATTGTTGTATGAATGATTTGTGGAAAAAATTTTGGTGGAGATCTTTGGTTATTTAGAATTTTGATTTGGGGCAAGGAAGACAAAACCTTAAAGATCTTGGACTTGCTAGGCTCTGATGTTAAATGATACCAATATGGGGCTTCTAGATGGTATTTGGGAAGTATATTTTGTGGAGAGATGGTTGCGGAATAGTAAGAAAGTGACAATAGGGGTTGTCGGCACTGCTAGAAAGGATGTTGGAAGCAAAATTTGCTGTGAAACATGAGGTGGGGCGAGTACGACGATTGTCTGGACTAAAAAAAATAGTACAAAAGTGAATCAAGGGAGGCACAGGAGACTGAACAATGAACTTGAATCGATAAAACGGTGTTTTCCTGCTGTAGACAGCTGGCAATAGTGGCTTCAACTACTGTTTGGCTGAAAATCAATCGACGAAGAGCAAGACGACAAGTCACTGATGGCAAGGGGGATCTACCACTTGTTCCTAGGAATGCTGCAATTACACCACTTGCAAAAAGAAGACGTCACAGTACTGTAAAGAGCAACATTCAGAGAAATGTTTCCCAATTCGTAAAATCAGAACAACTGAAATCCCAAACAACCTTCTATAACATTTATAAAATCCCCTGATAGCAAATACCTAATTAGAAACTTGAGAGAAATATCTAAGAACCATCTAAAAAGGAAGAAACATTGGAAAAAGAAACTTGCCAAAGAAGAAAGAAAGAAAAAAAGCTTGGTGCTGGGCTCCCTTTATTGTGGAACAGATCGTGATCCTGAGTGTTCTGCGACACCGTGGGATAGGCGTGATGTCGGCGTCTTCTACCTTCTTCATAGATTTATTGTTTTAAGTATATGCCGTGATGATGGTGGAATGGAGGGATTGTCTTGATTGAGTTGGGCATAGATCCAAGAAAAAGGATCCTCTGCTACACATTCTTCAAAAGTTTCAATGATGGCTATAAATAGGGGTCCCTAGACCATGGGAAATGGCGACTATGGTACTTTATGCTCATTATAATTTAACCTACTTCTTGGTAGCCTCTACTTCATATTTTTTCTTCCCTGACATGGGTTTCAAGAAGTCGAAGTAGAATCCTGAGTAGGATTTTGCCCTACTTGTCACTAGACTGCCCAATACGAATGTTTTCTTAATTCATATTCTAGTGAATTAACTCCATTAGACTTGATCTACATAGAGTTTTTCTTTCTTTTTCATGGTTTATACAATGCTGTTTACTTTTTTACCATTGTTTTTTTGCTTGTTCTTTTATTCTAGTCTATACTAATATGAAAAATATGAATCTGTGATCCTAATCCGGCTCCAATAAGCAATTAATGTTATTTATTCATTTTGAAGATGAGCTGTTTTAGTTTGGTTAGTGCACTGCAGTGTACTTTTTTACCATTGTTCATAGCTTGCTCTATTTTATTGAATATGATCTAGATTAATCTTATGACCGTGATTCTTACAATCTAGTTTGGCTCCAAAATTATTCAGCGGTTATTTTGTCATTTTGAAATGTGAGGTGTTTCTATTTGATTTGATGTGTGCATCTCATCCTATTTCTATAAAAGTACATACTCTTGGGACAACACTCCATCTATTTGTGATTATTGTGCAGATTCTTGACTTCACCTTTCCCTTTGATTTGAATTACTTTAAACCTTTCAAAAAACTTGTAAAAAATAATTCTTGATGGCTCTGGAGCTTTTTTTCTTCTTGCTAACAAAAGGCAATAACTTTATGTTACAACATTGTGTAGGCATGCTTTTTTTAATGTATTTTTTGATAAGACACTGTTTCTAAACAACCTATTTTTTCTTCGTTTGTGTTCTGATTTCAATAATGATGAAAATTATTTATTGTTAATCCTTTTCAGTAGTTCCAAGCCGTTGACTTAAACATTTTAAAAACAATACCTTAGATTTTGTAGAGATCATAATCATTTTGTTTTTTAAAATACATTGTTTTGAAATACACTTGGGGACCGGTTCGCTGAAAAAAGCTGTGTATTAAGACAAATGCAGGTATTTTAAAAATTGGATGTTTGGTTTGTGTAAAATGGAAAGTAGAGTAAAATTCCAATGATTTTCAAACTCAACCTTTATTTCATTTTCAATTGTGACTGCCATAGCTGGCCCCTTGTTAGGTATGTCTCATATACCATATAAGGGGCAGATGCTGTAGCGGAATAGAGCGAACGGCAGAGCGGAGCGGTAAAATCTGTCCAATCGGGGGAGTTTCGTTATGTGGGTTGGGGGTGCGGGGGTAACGCCTCGCGCTACGGTACATGGGTAATTTTGTAATTACATATTGTACTCCAGGGTTATATATACGCCTGTTTGTAACCCTAGGGCTTATTCTGATCTTGTACTCTTTTCTGAGATTGAATGAAAGTTGCCGCTCTGCTCCCGAGGACGTAGGCATCTTTGCCGAACCTCGTTAAATCTTTGCGTGTTCTTCTGTATTTGTGTCGATTCTTGTTTTTCTTTGCCCTAATTTCTCAACACCCCTCCTCCTGCACCCCTACTGCTGCCGCTCCCCACGCTTTAAATTGGTTTTATTTTTCTTCAAACTAAATATTAAATCGTAATCTTATGCATTTGTTTACACCAATCTAGTTCCAAATTTGCATTTCATTTACATCAAATTCCATTCACACCATATTATTTTTTAGCAAAACAATCTGTCCCGCAATTAGATGCACATGACAATTAAATTATCCTGTTTTTTCAACTGGCATATTTTGATATTATCTGTAAAAATTTAGAATACTTTTTTAAATCATACAATATATTGTCTTATTCAGATTCTATTGTCATTGATGGGGTGGATTTAACTGGTTACCAAATTTTTAAAGATACAAAGGTAAATTGGTTTTTAAATTTTTTTCTTTTTGCTCCTTTAGTTACTTTCAAGTGTTACTAGTTTTCTGTGCATATGATAGTTTTTGATATCAGGTGCAAAAGGCTATTGCATTTGCAAGAATGGCTCATTATGACATTATGACCAGTTTAGGGAAGACTGGAGAGCCTTATGTTATTCACTGCATCCATACTGGAAGAATTTTAGCTGCTCTTGTCCCAACAAGTGGAGAAAGGGTATGCACTTTCCCTTTGATTTTTGATTAAAAGGTTTTAACATTTTTAGAGTTAAACTACAAAAAATCTGAGATGTTTTGTTCTTTTTAGGTGGTTATCCTTAATTCTTGTCCTGAAATTCTCTATGTTGATGTCCCAAAGAAATTTACTTGAGACCTCATAATTCTTTTTTTGAACAATTTTGTAGAAGAAATGTTACACAACTCTTTGTATAAGTCAACAACATGCTTCTTTCCACAGGCTGTGAACACGGTTGTTGCTGGGATTCTTCATGATGTGATAGATGACACAACTGTCAATATCAGTAGCATAGAAGATGAGTTTGGTGAGGATGTTGCTCGTTTGGTTGCAGGAGTTTCAAAACTAAGCTATATCAATCAGGTAAATGTGGAAACACTATTCTTTGAGATAAATACTGCTATCGTAAATAAGTTTTGACAAGTTCCTTACCCAATTAACACTGCCAGTGAAAAAGTAAGTAAATAAATTTAACATCATTTTAAATATTTACATTTTAAAATTTAAATTATACTTTCTAGTCGACTTTTATTACTATTTTGTGAGTAGTCATCATTATCACCAACTATCATGTAAAATATAAATAAATTAAAAGCAATTGAAAGTAATATTTTGCATTCCATCTCGTAAACATTAAGTCTAAGTCTCTATATACATCAAGGATGACTTGAAGTCGTCTCCCTTCTTGAACTTTCTTCTGGTGCAGAATTAAATTAAAATTTGAAGAATAGATTAGCTAGTAAGTCTTTTGAAAATTGCACTCTCTTGGTAAATTTATGAAGTACCAGCAATGAATTGACTATAATTGCAAGACTAAAAAATTTTTCAACTAAAAAAGACTCCAATCTTCAAATCTTGAAAATTTTGTTGAGATTTTTGGCAACTTCATGAACAACAATATTGGGATGATTTTGCCAAAGTTTACTTCTTTTAAGCAGTTCTTTTTTCTCTTCTTCAGCCTCAGTACATGCCAGGTGATCCTTTGATTTGATCCTATCTAACTTTTGCATGGAATTTTGAGTAAGGGCAAATACGACTTACTGGAGTTCATCTCTTCAATCTTCTTTGATCGAAATTTTAACCGGCTTCCTCTGCGTGTTTGGTGTGGAGTTGTGAGCAGCTTGTGAAGTTTCTTGTTAGACTAGTATTAGTGTCTTACTCTGATCGGTGGCAGATTTGGTAGAATTATTCATCGCAACAGGAACTTTAATGGTCTATATGGTGTTGAAGGTTTGTTTATGTGATGGTTTCAACATTCCTTTATGGAGGCCTTGGCGATGATACATCTTTGACATCTCTTGATTTAGGCTCTCTTAGCGGCTACTATGGTAGAGGAAATTTTTTCTTAACAATACTTGATAAATGTTCATCGAAACATTTTAGCGAAATTAAGCTAAATAGTTTTCAGAGATGTACTTAGAGAAGTAGCCATGGGGTCAACTCTATCTCTCGAGTTTCCCTATTCTTCTCTTAGAAACTCACTCAAATTACAATAAATTTCAAATTCCCTGGGAAATTTAAAGGAGAAATTCACTAACACGACATTTTTTATTGGAGAGCAATTTTATCTTTACCATAATTTTGTTCTCCAACAGAAGATTTTTTAGTATATGGATCAATTCAGTTTGCATTGAACTATGTCTAAAGTTGTTGGAGCCACCCTAAAAAATGTATTACACTTAAACTTGAGTACTACTTTCAAAATAATTCAGGAAAATTCTATAATTAAGTATCCAAAAGTTCTTCAGCAACACTAGAACATCAACCAATCTTGAAGACTCACTAATCGGTTGAGGAGAAATCTATATTTTTCTTAAGTGAAGTTACTCATAGAGGCAAGGTGACATGAATTTTCTTCTTACTTGCCTTAATAATATCAAGCTTCAATTTATTAGTTTTTTTCCCATCAAACTCTTTTCTTTCTTCTCTCAAGTCTTTTAAGGAAATTGGCGATTGTGGCATCCTCATTCACTTTTATTTTATTCTCGGGAATAATCATCATGAATGGAGTTTTTTAGCTTGAGGATGAAGGAGAAGAGATGTATAGCCACCCACCTTCTAACTGAGTCAAACATTTCTATTGATAAAATGATATGAATGTCAAGTCAATGCAATAATCAATATTCATAAATGAATGTCATTAATTTTGTCTGAGAATAGATTTGAAAAAAATAAAAATATTTTTCAAACTCATCTTTTGCGAATAAAGCAAGCAATAATTCAACAAAAGTGAAAATTCTCTCCGAAGCCTAGTGCAAAGAATAATAACACTTCTAATTTTTTTTTTGTTCTTTTTAATGTTGCTTTCCAAAGATTCAAGAAAATTTGTGAGTTAAATGTACGTCCAAATATCTTGAAGGTTTAACAATGTGAAATTGCCCAGGTCAATATTTGTTTATTAAGTATTGGTAGCTATGAATTTGACCTGTGGCTTCTGATGCATATGTCTGATTCATGGAGAACTCGCTACATTTATAGTAAACTTGCAATCTGATGAACTTGTCTGGCTCAAAATGAAATTGCTGGACCGACTTAAGCTAAATGATAGTGGTCCACACTCATGAACAACCAGATCCAATGACTTAGAATGTTGACTTCCAAGCATATTTGGCTACAAGTTTGAATATAGTCATGCTACACCCCTTTATAGCGAGAAAGCAACTTGCTATGTACTTCTCTTGTTCGTGTAACTTGATATATAGTTTTTTTTTTTGGTAGGGCTTGGACCCCAACACAAAGAGATGAATAGTGGGTCAGGTAGAGAGTCTATTATTATGTAGTTACATAATCTTACACAATTTCTTGTACTTGTTTATTCTAGTGAAATCTCAAAGCTTCTTACTCTAAATTTCTGAGCTTTCTGTCTCATTATCTTTCTATTTTTACTGAGTGCTATTAATAATAGCTTTCACCTTTAAAAATTTAGGAAATAAGATGAAAGTAATGAATTAGAGTAAGAAGCGTTAGGATTTCAATAGAATTGCTTCAGGTATAAGGTATTTCATTCGATTATGCAACTCTCTAACGCCAGGCCTTTCTCATAACTCTCTATTTATATGTTTTATATTGGAATTTGAGCGCTTCTAGAAAATCTTTACAGTGAGATATATGAATTAGAAAAGAACATAATAAGACCCATTGTTTACTCACTATAAAATTCATGAGATGTGTAGCTTAGCTACATGCCTGAACTTATAGCCGATTTGCTGCGAAGTCACCATTCTAAGTTTTTAGATCTAACAAGTAATTACTGAGTGTGGGCAACTATGCCTGAGTTTGTTTGGTTTTTGTCGGTCGTTTTTAACTTCTTGATTTGAAAAAGTGATGATTTTGTTATTTTAAAAATAATTTAAATATGAATATAACCCTTTTTTATTTTTAAAAGTAACATTTTAATTTTAAAATAAGTGAGACCAAACGAGTCTCACATTTTAAATAATTTAGATGATTGAATACAATACTACAAGTAATACACTTTTCCCGAAGAATAAATATATCACTTGTAATAGAGATTCAATCTCGTAGACTAAAAAAATTTGTGACATCCGTTTTGATATGCGAAATATTTTTATAAAAAGACCAACAAGTTTCCCCACCTAACATAAAAAAATTAGATAGGGTTTATTTTATCTGGGTTCCAGGTTCCCTATAAAGTCAAACCCCTATAGTTAATTACATCTTAAATGACTGAGGGTCATTTAAGAAAACTCTCGATTAAGATCATGTGGTTTTGCCTTCAAGATTTCAAAATTTAGGTTTTCACGATTGGATATGGGAAAATCAAATGGGAATGACTCAAAATAGGAACAATTATTTAAGAATTCCAAAGGGAAGAAAAGTAGGGGATATCATAGATCTGGGGAAAACCCTGATGAACTCCCAACTATCATAATGTTCGGCTTTATGTCTTTTGAAATGATGTAATTTGATATTTCAATCCTGCAAATTATTTAGGATTCAGGACTTATCAGGACTTATGTTTAGGACTTATGTTTACACAATATCAAACGGTGCAAATAGTCTAAAAAGATCAGAGAATTTACACCGTACCGCACGGTAACCTCGAAATCCTAAAGTGTTAGAACTTATAATTACACAACAAGGTTGTGCAAAAAACCTAAAAGTGATATGTGAGGGTTTACGTTGCGCTAGACAAACTACCTCGAAGTTTTATGGATTGTTATTTAAACTAAGAAAAATGTATAGTGTTGTGAAAATGTTTATGTTATGTCTTTTGATGTTTTGCTGTTGCAGATCCATCTCGAAGTTGTTCCTCGCCATGCTGCTTACGATGTTCGCTCCAAGCTTCTCGTAGTGGCACCTGCTAGTTTAGTGTTAATCTTATACAACCACTAGGTTTTTCTAAATTAAGACATAATGTGTATAAAAAATAACTAAACATGCAGTATAAAGAAAAGAACAATGTAGTGTATAATAGAAAAAAAAGACAGTATAACATGCTGAGAAAATAATATAACATACTATGAGAACAATATAACATGTTGGGAAAATAAAATGTTGTAATGTAAATTAAATCTGTACACCTGAGAGGTTTATTGATTCTTTAAATTTAGCTATTATGCACTGTGTAAAAGGAGAAAGTATAACCTGAAAAAGACTTGAGAAAAACAGGTGAATCGTAGGAAAAAGACAAACAAATAAAACAAAACACAATATCACATATAAAAGACTAATGATATATAAATGACCAAGAATAAGAGATTTATATGTGATATTGAGAATGTTCTAATTGCCAAAAGAATCTGAGTGTAAGACTCAAACTCAAATCCCGGAGCATTGAGTTTCAGTTTTGGTCAAGTTAATGGAAAAATTTCATTATTTGATTTAATTAAATCAGTCATGAATCACAATCTAGTGCACCCTCGTGTCTAGTGTCCTTATAAACTAGTGTCAGATGTCTGACTTCTTAGGATCATTTGAACATTAGAAGGATAAACTCTCTCAAGATGTGCTCGTAAGACCTAGGAAACTTACACTTTAATTTGGGTCTGAAATGTTCTAAAGTGTCTAATCTCAATTAAGTGTCCCTCAATTAATCCTCGAACATCTTTATATGAAGCTTAGCTCCCTATCAGACTCCTAAAACCTAGAGGGTAAACCTATAGTTTTGGCAAAAGGGTTGTGAAATGTGCTTCAATCCTAGTTAGAGCAATTGGGTTTAAGTTGATTCAAAACTTAAGGGACTTAAGGGACCTAAGTGCGTGCAGGTCTACTGATCTTTCAATCCGTATTCTTAATCGTTATCTAGACTTTCACTTTCTTCCAACTCTCAACTATTTTTCCAAATACAATTTCATCTTTCTTATGCAAAAGGAACGGTGAATGGTTTGCTATCCTATCTC